TATTGTGAAATAAAATCTCCTTTTTTAAACTAGAACATACAGTAAGTACAATGACTGATTTTTTTTATTTTAAATTTTTCTAGCTATTAGTACACTTTTAATCAGCATTTTCCATGATTTTATTGGAAAAGACAGAACCTGATGTTTTTTCAAAATGAAGGACTTAATTAGTCTTGAACTTGTCAACCTTGACTCAGCTGGCGTCAAAGAAATGATTTAGTGGATCATTCACCCTTAAATGAAGCTCATTTATCAGGTCAGGAAGTTTTACTGATGTCTTAAACTTTTTCATACATCTATACTTTTTGTGCTCTGTAAAAAAAAATATATATTTATATATACTCATAAATAGGGCAATTTTTGGAACTGACTTAACCTTCATTATGCTTGTCTGTAGAGATATGTGTTACACAAAAGAATTCCTAAACAAATCGCTATTAATTCAGCAATCAAACATCAAAAGGGATAAGATAAGATAAGGTAGGATAAGCATGATATGTCTATCTACATTGCAGTTGCATTGTCTACATCTTATAGCACCTTGTTACCAAACATTCAGTTCACTTAGCTCAGGCTACATGTTTTAAAGTGGACCTAAACCACAGACTGCAGGGGGGTACTTATCATAATGTTCAATTACCTGCAGATTATAGCAGCCTTACTTTCTAGACTGCTCTTCTTCATTAAAGTGGAACTAAACCCATAGATTTAACTGTTTAAAAAAACAGGCATGCCATGAATGCTAACTGCCATCAAATGGCTGGTGTCATAATTGATCACATGTGCAGCACCATGGCAGTTGCAGATCAAGCAGAGTCTAAGATTGCAGCTTCCTTGGCTGAAAAGGACAGGAGGGTTTAGTTCCACTTTAAGTGTTGACATATCCACTCTAAGGCTACGTTCACACTAGCGTTGTGTGCAGGCGGCAGAGAGGCATTTGGGAAGCATTTTTACTGCTTCCCAAACGCCTCGGCCAATTCTGCACATTACAGCACATGGTGCTGTTCTAACGGGAGCGTTTACGTCGCGTCGTGGCAAAACGGATGCCTCTGGTCGAGTCAGGAGGCTTTGAAGCCTCCTATTCTCGTCTATGGTGCCGCTCCGCAAACACCCGGCTGGCGTTTGTGGTGCGGTTGCGACGCGGTTGCGGGGCATTTGCGGAGCGGTAACACCACTCAAACTGCATTATAGGTGTTTGTGGGGCGTTTTTTAACGCTCAGCAAACGCCTAGCAACTGCCGCTAAACCGTGCATGCGGCGTTTGCCGAGTGTTAAAAAACGCTCCGCAAACGCCGGACCAACGCTTGCCAAACGCTATAGGGGCGTTTGACAAGCGTTGGTAAAACAGCCAAGTGTGAACGAGCCCTTACTGTGGCTGTTTCACTGTTAGGCTACTTTCACACTGTTCTCTTGTAAAAATGCATGTGCATTTTTGCCACATTTTTACTGTGTTTTTGTTGCGTTTCCAGTGTGTTTTGCACCTGTGAAAAAAGGACATGTAAGTCAAAAACCGCAACAAAAATGCAGCCATGGCTGCATTTTTCATGTGTTTTAGCAACATTTTTGATGTCGTTTCCATTCATTTCAATGGAGAGGTGTGTTTTTGGTGCATTTTTTTTACTGCACCAAACATGCAAAGAAATGCAGCAAGCAGGTTTTTACAAAATGCAGCAGACCCGTAACTGATCAATGTTAAGAGCTCCATAGGATTTCATGGTCATGTGTTTTTATTTCAGCCTTTTTTTTTAATGCAAAAGCCACAACAAAAAAATGGATTGGCGTGGAAGCAGCCCTACTTTCCCTGCAGCTTCTTCTGGGTCTGGAAGCTTTGCCCATTTTAATTACCAGGAGACCACTGCTGATGTAACTCTTGCTCAAGCATGCTGAACTGACTTTTTCCGACACTGCACATGTATCATAGAAGATGTACATAGAAGAAAAATGCTGGTATAAAAAAGAACTATTTCTGTTCAGTTACACATTAATATTCGTATCTGACATTGTTAGATCCAGTTTATACCAAATCTACTAATGCTGACATTTGTTAACAACATAAACTATAATATTAATAGATACAAATATATAGATTAAAATGATAACATTAATTACAAAAAAAGAACAGTTAATAAAATGGTGAACTAATGTGGTCATTTACTGTATGCCCATAATAATCAATTAGCAACAATGCACTTACTGGCTTCTGAGCTGTGGTAAGGTGGCTTATTTTTATTATTATATCTTTTATTATTATATCTTTTATTAGATTTTTTTTCATTACAAAAAAAGCATTAAATACACATAAATCTGAGAACAGAAAACAAAAACCAAAACGATAACAAGCTTCTCCCGTGTATCCCAATTACCTCATATCATATTTTTCCCTACCCCCCTCATCCCTCCCCTCTCCCCCCTAATTCTCTAAAACCACACCACTTTCCAACCCTTATTATCATTATCAGTCTATATCTGTATTCCCTTCCTCCTATCCCTTTTGCTCTGTGGGACATCCTTAAAAGGTCCCCCTAGTACTCATTTACTTATATTCCAAGCAGTTCCAAATATCTTTTAGTGGTTTTAAAGACCAACCACTTACTCCATGTTTTCCTAAATTCCTCCCTCCTATAAATGTTATCTACTCTATTTACCCAGTCATTCAAACTTGGTGGATCAGGGGCAAGCCAAAATTTGGGAATCAGGCCCTTAGCCACACTAACTAGATGGTATAGTATCCTGTTCTTTTGTAGATTTATCAAAGATTCAAATTTATAAAATAAACAAATCCATGGATCTCTCTGTATAGTAACCCCACATATTTCCTGAATATATTGTAATACTTCCTTCCAGTATTCTTGCATCTTCGGGCATTCCTACCATACAGTATATGTGCCATCAGTACAGTATATGTGCCATCGTGCTCTTTCCCCCACAACCTCTCCAACATAAGCTGAAATCTCAACTTGTTGTTTATGTGCTTTACTTGGTGTGATATACCATACAGCCATACATTTATAGTTAATTTCCACCGTGCTCATGTTTGTTACCTCGTGTACTAATTTAAATAAATTATTCCTCTGTTGTGCATTCAACTTTGATCCCAACTCCAGCTCCCATTTTTCCAAAAACTGGGGGGGATCAGTACCTTCTATTTCCATAAGGATCTTATATATCTTAGAAGTGCCCTGTTTTGGGGCTATAGTTACATTCAACAGTTTCTCAAATGGGTACTGATCGTCCGGCATCCTCAGTGGTTGTGGGAGTGTTGAGACAAAGTGAGCAAGTTGACCGTACCGCCATTCATCTAAAGTGAAAAATAAATCTTTTCTTTCTTTTAAATCAAAAAAAGTGCAAATTCCCTTTACTCAATATATCTTTTAAGTGTATGTTCTGATTTTTAATCTATTTCCCAGAGATATTGTCCTTCTCTGGAGGGAAATACTCCGTTCCCACCAAGGGGATCATACCTGAGTTATATTTCCATCCTTTTTGTTTATACAATCTATCCCAAACACTAAAAACTTTCTTTGTCAGTGGACTAGTGTTCCCATCTAATGTGCAAAACGTGTGTGGAACCCAAACCATCTTTCCTAACTGTGCCTTCCTCAACGTCTCTTCCATATTCATCTAATCTTTCCTATGTGAATGAAATACCCAATCTATTATTCGTGAAAGTATCACCGCATGATAATAACTTTTAATATTTGGTAACCCCAAACCCCCATTACCTTTTGCCCTACACAGTGTCTCATACCTAATTCTCGTTTTTTTATTTGCCCAGATAAACTTACGTATCATCTTCTGTATTATCCCAAAAAAAGGATCCTGCTATATATATTGGTAGTATGTGGAACCTATACAAGATTTTTGACACTATCACCATCTTACCAAGTTTATACGACCTATCCATGAAGCACCGCCTTTTGACAACCTCCCTAGTTCTCCTTTTATTTAATTTCCTAATGGAATATAATTTGCCTGATAAAGGGCTTTTAAAGAAGGGTACAATTTTATTTCTAAATCGCCTATTTCTTTTTCCCTCCACGTAAATGAGAATTATTTTTGTAAGTTTTGCCTTTCAGGTTTTGTTATATTAATATTTAAAATCTCAGACTTTGCCGGGTTTATTTTCAGGTTTGTTATCTCCCCATATAGTTTTAATAATTTAATTAAATCAGTTAGCGTCATTCTAGGGTTTACTATTTAATGCAACATATTGTACGCATATGCTGCCACTTTATGTTCCACTTGTCAAATCTTTATTCCTGCTATATCCTTGTCTGGCTCCATTATACATTTTAAAGAACTGATAAAGGGACCCATTAACCTTGACCAACGCTGACAGGGCGCTATATATGATTTTTCTCTTTTAACCTTTAGTAAGAGGAACAATGATCTCAATACATTATCTCTACCTTCTCTACCAGGGATAAATCCCACCTGGTCCAGGTGTATCCACTCTGGCATCAGATCCTTTAATGTAGTTGCCAACACTTTAGCATATAGTTTAGTATCAACATTTAACCACTTGCCTACCGGGCATTTATACCCCCTTCTTTACCAGGCCAATTTTCAGCTTTCAGTGCTGTCGCATTTTGATTGGCAATTGAGCGGTCATGCAAGATTGTACCCATATGAAATTTTTATGATTTTTTTTCTCACAAATAAAGCTTTTTTTTGGTGGTATTTAATCGCCACTGGGCACTTTACTATTTGCGCTATAAACAAAAAAAGTGCAAAAAATTGGAAAAAAAAAAAGTTTCTTTGTTTCTATTATAAAATTTTTCAAACAGGTAATTTTTGTCCTTCACTGATGTACATTGATGAGGCAGCACTGATGGGCACTAATAGGCGGCACTGATGGGCACTGATAGGCAGCACTGATGGGCACTGATAGGCAGCACTGATAGGCAGCATTAATGAGGTGGCACGGATTGGCGGCACTGATAGGCAGCACTAATGAGGTGTCACAGATAGGCAGCACTGATAGGTGGCACTGACTGGCATCACTGCTGGGCACTGACTGGCGGCACTGCTAGGCATTGCCTGGCGCAACTGCTGGGCACTGACTGGCACAACCACTGGGCACTGACTGGTGGCACTGACTGGCAGCACTGCTGGGCTGCACTGATGGGCACTGGTGGGTGGCACTGGTGGGCACAGGTGGGTGGCACTGGTGGGCACATGTGGGTGAGCACAGGTGGGTGGCACTGCTAGGTACAGGTGGGTGCACTGCTGGGCACAGGTGGGCGCACTGCTGGGCACAGCTTGGTGCACTGCTGGGCACAGGTGGGCGCACTGCTGGGCACAGGTGGGCAGAGCTGGTGGGTGGCACTCCTGGGCACCGATCAGCAGGGCACTGATCATCAGCCGATCCCTGCTCTGACAACTGCCGGTTCTCGGCAGTACTTTCCTCACGCTCTGACAACGTGAGGAAAGTGCAGCCGAGAACCGGCAATTGCATTTACGGGTGACCAGCGTGTCATTGAACACGGCTGATCATGTGGTAAAAGGCCACTGTGATTGGCCTTTTACCGCATCACGTGATTAGCTCTGTCCATAGGACACAGCAATCACGGAGATGGCCGGGTGCGTGCCCCCGGGGGTGCGCAGGAAAGCGCATTCTGGGAGGATGTCATATGACGCCCTCCCAGAACTGGCCGGCCGCAGTGTAGCCGTCATTCAGCTATCTGCGGTCGGCAAGTGGTTAATAAAAATATTGGCCTATAACTAGCACACTGTGTACTGTTTTTACCTTGTTTGAGTATGGCCGTTATATGGGCCTGCAGTGATTCCTTTCTCATTTCCAACCCTTCTCCTATTGCATTCATATAGGTACAAATTTTGGGGACCAAAAGATCACTACATTTTTTATAATACCCCACCGTATATCCATCCGGTCCTGGGCTCTTTCCTTTGGCTGTATTTTTAAGGCCAGATTAATTTATTCTAGGGTAATAGGTCTCTCTAGGGCCTCTAGTTTTTCTCCTGCTATTCTTGGCAGTTCAACTTCCTTTAGATATTCTAGTCTCTTTTCCTTTATTTCCTCCTCTTTTTTTTTGATCTTTGGAACTCACATCATACAGACAGCTATAATATTTTTTAAACTTATTAGCGATATCGGTGGTGGAATATACCATTTCTCCTTTATCATCCTTAATTTTTTCTATATAATTTTTTTTATTTCTTTTCCTTTAATTTCCTCATCAAATATTTTCCAGGTCTGTTCCCCCACCTTTCTTTTGAAAACCTATTAAATACTCTTCTCAACTCCTGTTCCATAAGATCTTTTAGTTCTTCCCTTTTAATGATTAACTTCTGATACACCTCTGTGCCTGTCTTCTTTTTTTATGCAACCATTCTAAGGAGAAGGGTGTAGTTTAGCTTTAATTGTATTTCTACTTTTCCAGTCAAATTTGAGAAATCCCTCACTATATATTTGTAATTTGTTATCATTCACATTGCATACCTAAAAATAATTAAAACCTATTTCTTACCTTTCCAGTTGTTTCTTTTAAGCAGGTTCATACATAGGACTCTATACAGTCAGCTTGAAATTATTCAGACTAGCTTGCAATGTGCAAATGTTGGGACAGTTTATTAAAAATGGATTACCATAGAAAGCACCACACAAGCCTAGATATCTTTAACCTTTTGTTATGACAGTGTGTACACCAATTTTACAATGGATAATGAAGATCTACCTTCACAGTACAGAATATTTATGGTAAACATAACTCCCCACTCCCTCTTTAATATTATATAGAAGGGGAAAGCTAGTTTTTTTTTTAGTAAGTAAAAAGCAAGTGAAATGTAAGCAACAATTTTTTATTCTCTTTTAAGAGTGAACATATATAAATGTATTGTTATCCCAAATTGTTATCCCAAAAAGTGAAAAAATACTTTAAATGCTGTACTTGGAGACACTACAATGTTTTGCTGGCTTTTTTTAGTTAAATAATTAATATTTAATACTCTTTCATCTAACCTCTGTGGCTTCCCACCAGCTTCATATTCCCACCTGTATACTCTTACAGTTTCCCTTTCAGGAGGTAGACCTTTGGCTCAGAACGTCCCATGCTGCTACCTTTCTCCCCTCTATCTTATTTGCACATGTTTGTTCTGTTATTACACTTTTAAAAGGCTGTAAGCTTGCAGTAGAATGAAACAAAAATATTATTGTTCAAGAACCTTTAATTTAAAAATTGTGTAATGTCATCTATTGTATTTGTCATGTCCATTGCTATGCTACCTACTTGTGAAGTAAAACATCTAAAGCCCCCAAAAAACAAATTATTCTCTAATGATTTTTTGTTAAATTAAAAGCTATCTGGTGTCTGTCCCGTTCAAAACGTGGCCTAGTAAGAGTGCTTAAATACTGTACATGTTGTCACCGCAATATTTTGGTGTTTTTTTTTTTGTGTGAAATGAACACACTCTAATGTTGATTTTTTTTTAAAAATTAAATTCTGGCTAGTATATCTCCTGTTCAAAATGCAGCCTTGTGAAAGTGCTTATTTGAATGTTAATTTGTATCATAAAATGCATGTTGCTTGGCTATGCAGGACTATAGGAGGACCCAAAATGACAGCGACTCCTAAGGGGTTAGTGCAACATGGGGATGAGGTGATGGAAAAAATAAAAGTACAGTTGTTAGGTGTGGGCAGATTAGGCCTCTCTGAAGAGAAGGGTTTTCAAGGATTGTCTAAAAGTGGACAGAGTAGGAGACAGTAAGACAACTTGGGGTAGGAAGTTCCATAGGATGGGAGAAGTCCTGGAGTCGAGCATAGGAGAAGTCCTGGAGCCAAGCATGGGAGGAGATGGCAAGGGAGCTAGAGAGAAGGAGGTCTTTGGAGGAGCGAAGAGAATGGTTTGGTTGGTATTTTGAGACTAGGTTAGTGATATAGCTTGGGGGCAGAGTTGTGGATGATTTTATAGGTTGTTGTTAGAATTTTGAATTTAATTTGTTGGGTAAGCAGAAGCCAGTAGAGGGATTGGCAGAGAGGAGTAGCAGACACTGAATGATTGGTAAGGTGGATGAGCCTGGCAGAAGTATTCATCATGGACTGATAGGGGGATAACCTATGTAAAGGTAAGCCAATGAGTAGGGAGTTGTAGTAGTCGAGGTGAGAGATAACCAGGAAGTGAATTAGAAGCTTTGTGGTGTCGTTGGTTAGGAAGGGGCGTATTTCAGAGAAGTTGCATAGATTGAGGCAGTAAGTTTGGATAGTGATTGGATGTGGGGTTGAAAGGATAGTTCAGGTCCAGTATTACACCTAGCATCTTGGCATGGGGATTACGGGTTGACAATTATGCCATCGGTCTTGACAGAGAAGTCAGGGGAAGAGGCACGTGGGGGAGGAAATATTATGAGCTCAGTTTTGGATAGATTGAGTATGAGGAAGTGGTTTGCCATCCAGACTGATATATCTGTTAATAAATTAGTGATGCGTGTCACATCGAAGGATTGGTAAACTGCAATATAATAAATGTTTTCTTTTGGATTTAATTCTGCTTCAATAAATGGTGCTTGTAAATCTGTGATCAGGCAATAAATCTTGAATTCTGAAAAGCCGTCTGCACAATATCCTGATATATGATAAATAATGATCTGTAAAGTGAGTGATGCTCTAATCATATATAGCAAACAAATATCATAAATAAATGATAAATTAATAAAGTGCATACAAAACTGGTAACAATCCAATGCTCAATATTGTGATAAGCTGTTGAAAAATAGCTTTGCACTGCATAGCATCTTCACTGTAGAACTTTGGGAGAATTTGTTTTTCCCTCATTTGCATTGGGACTTTCAGACTGAATTATATAGTTTTTTCACAGTTTATCACAGTATTCGATTATCACTGATTATATTGTGCATTGGGTTGTTTACAGTTTTGTTTGTACATTACTTTTTATGCACTTTATTCAATTGTTTTATGGAATTGGTTTGCATTATATGATTAGTGCAGCACTCACTCTACTACTAAAAGTATTTGAGCAACATTTGATGTTTCATGATGTTTCAAATACCATCCAGTTCACCCAATGTCATTGTTGGGACCTTGGGATTATTCTTGAGAGGGAATGTATTCATTTATTTTTAGGATTGTAACCTTCTTTGGGGGGGGGGGGTATGAGAAATGACCCTTTCCAAACAGGGTGTTGTGCTAATCCTGTAAGTAAATAAGAGAACTTGAACCTTCACTAGATGGAAGAGTGGGATTGATAATAAAGTTGGCAGTGTCTCTACCCAGGTCAGGGCCTCTATGAACAGAGGGGATTCCCTTCCTGGGACATAAATCAGTAATCTAATTAAAGTAATTGGAAGCAGAAGAACTACTGCAGCCAGCATATAGTATTAATCATAAGCATATACATGCACACCATTATAGAAATAATACACATTTTATATAAGAAATTATTAATAACAGTACATAAATTCACTGTATAAACAGATATTATCAGCAAAGAGTCCAATAGGTGTCCTGCTGGAATTGTGAACATATATTCAAGTAGATATAATTGTCACGCTTACCCCTAACACAAGTGGTCAGACACTATAGCTTGCTTCTGTGTTCTTCACCTATAGCAGCCCCCTTTCCCACAAGCCAGGCAGGCCTATCAGTATTCTGTTGCCCTGAGAACCTATACACAACACTATAGTGCCTGACTACGACTCTGGGGTAGGCTCGAATTGTGCACAGCAAAGAGGTACTTGCGGTTGGCAGACCGGCGGGGTGGTTTAATGACAGTACAGGTAAAAGACAGGCAGGGTTCAGAATAGTCAGGGTCAAATCCGTAGTCATAATGCAGGCAGAGTTCAGAGAGTAGTCAATATCCAATCCAAGGCCATCAATGAGGATTCCAAACATGCAGACAGGGGAGACAAACAGGGAGCTTGGGGCACGCGTTACAAACGCAATATCACAAGCATGAGACTGAAGGTTTGGTTGGCTTAAATCAGGTTTGATCTCCACCCAGAGACTGTCCACATCAATCACCTTGCAGGTGGACAGAGAGACAGGGAGAATATATCACAATTAAAACAAGGATGCTGGAATACCACCAGCAACTGTGATGGAGCAGGAGTGCTACATGCTCCTGATAATAAATATTTAAAGAAGAGATGCTTCAAGATGAATGTTGCAGCAAAGTCCCATTGTAGGGGCCTGCTGAGGATGATACAACATCTGTCTTTGTTTTGGAGACAGGAAGACAATATCTTCAGTGATAATTAGAGCTGTTACCAAATCAGTCTGCAAGCAGTCCTAGATATCTGGCATGTGAGATAATAATAGGACAGAGATACTCTGTTACTAGGATTCAGCAATACACTTAGCTATGGGCAGCTGCAATTTGCACATTGAATAACTGTCCCTTCTGATCTGGTATTAGCAGCATGGACAGATCATGTGGCTGAAACCTTCACTTTATCCACTTTGGTTTTGGTGCGGAAAGTCT